CAACATTTGACTGCAAAGTTCATTTGGAGTGTTTTTAGACATGGTTCAACCATCTATTACCAGTCTTTGTGGTAAGGACATGCAAATGTTTGCTCTCTGCAGGTGAAGCCACGCAGCACTTTGAGGACAAATGAAAAGTAAATGGCAAACAGGTGTTTGATGAAGTGCAGTGTTCACAAGCTGAATGTTAACTTCGACGATTCAAATGTGCAACACAGCAGATCTCTTCTGCTCTGGTCCTCATGGAGGAGGGGATTTATTTCTTTACAAGCGATTTATTCTGGTTGGTTCCAGTCTATCCAGTCTCCTACCTGCTGACAGAGTAAAGAAATGATCAGCAGTCTAGTAGACAAAGTATAAGTACTGTGGTCTAATACAACATAAGGCATGTGAGCTCTACTTAACCCCTTAATGTGTGCTACTGCGTCAGAACAATATGAAATAAGTAAAAATGTGTAACATACCGCTTCATACTGGTTGTGTTAAGGACCATTATAATTTGTCCTTATGTACAATAAAGTGGGGAACAGTACAAGGCACACATTTAACAGCTGAGTTGTTACAAATATATAAATAACCAAGACAAAAAACAAAGTTCATGAGTATCTGTGCTCTCGTCAGTGACTTGTCCAGTTCTCTCATGTACATTTAACATTGTTTGTCAGGACTTCAAGTGTTGGTCTGGTGGGTGCTGTCCCGGCCAGTCCAGCTGGGTTCACATGACTCAGTTGTTAGACGCTGTCCACAAAGCTGCCAGGAAACAGTCCGGTCCTGCCGTTCCTCTGCAGCGTGCCTTTGAACCAGCCGTCCTCCCGCTTCCTGTGGACAAACACAATGTCCCCCTCTTTGAGTTCCAGCTCCGCCTCGCTCTGTGGAGGATATGACACCACCACCCTGTACCTGGGGAGGACAGTGAGGGGCAGAAACACAGCATCAAAGACAATTTATACCTGCAGTCTCCTGTTACTGTGTCCGGGACCGGCAGGTCCACATAAGCCTACCTCTCACATATGATGGGACGTGCATCATGCTGCTGTGATAACAGAGAGGAGCAAGGCTGACGAGGGGGAGGAGCGATGGGAACACATCCGTCCAGTGGAATGTTCTTCCTATGGGAGAACTCAGGGACTGAGGGGGAGGAGGAGGATGAAGCAGCAGCAGCAGGTTCAGACTCGAGCCAACCCGAGGGAGGGGAGGTGTCATGGCCCACAGCTCCATGCAGCATCTCTCCAGGCGCAGTCAGCTCCCCCTCATGGGTGGGAGAGGAGGGGGGTGAAGGACGAGACTTCTTCTTATTGGAGGACAACAGCTTCAGGAGACTCTTCTTTTCTCTCTGCACATATTTCATGTTTGTGTTAGAAAATAATGGCAGAAAACTTTTGAAATTGTTTTTCTGGAGCTTAACTGCTGATCTGTTCCATGTTGCTGTGTTCATGCGTGCTCATCTACTCACACAGACTCATGCTCATGTTCGTGCTGCTGTTCAACGTAATGTTTTTATGCTATTAGTGCTTAGTGAATTTTAGTTGATGTTTTTCTTAGATCATATCTTAGATCTTATTACTGTTTTTCTTTTACATTTATTGTTGGATGTAGCTGGGACCCTGTGTACATAATTTCGCTCCACCACGTGTACCACATGGGGTGTGAATGACAATAAAGAATCTCTGACTCTAACAAATTAAAAACACATGGCCATGTTATTTTGTTAATGACCCCATTGACAGTCATGGTATTTTTAATTTGTAAGAGAAATAAAAACTCAGCATTCCTTGAACTGTAGAAGTATCTTAGCTCAGTATCTGTAAAACTGACTGAACTAGTCATTTCTAAAACAGTCCATGCTCAATAATCCAGGTATACAATCCAACAATTTTCAGTCTGACTGAAAATTGTTGTATAGTCATTTCTGTTTTAGCCTAGTTCAATTAGCTGTAGCGGCCATCTTGAATGAGGTTGACCCCCAAAAAGCAATTAGTTGTGGATGTACGTCCAAAACTTTGCCAAAGTGTCATTAAAGTTGTTAGTGATTCATAACTGCAGTCAAACAGGTGAAAACATTATTAATAAAACATGCAGAATAGATATTCAGTTTTATTTGAACTTAAAATTTAATTGAATATTTACAAACATCCAACCTTGCCATCCTTGTCCTGTCTACAGGTTCCGTTGTTGGAGGAGGAACTGGGAGCAGCATTGTTGCCGATGGGCACGGGTCTTAAAACGTCCACATCCAGAGACACAGCGTTCACATTAGGTGGAGTCAGAGATGCGGCAGCGCAGCTCAGAGCCACTCCAGTCCGAGTACAGCCCTGAGCAGTGTTGGAGGAAGGCAGTGGTACGTAGGTCACGGGGGTTGCACACTGGATGGGGGTCACTGCTGCTGTGGGTCTATCCTGACTGTGACAAGCTGCTGTAACAAAGACACAAATCAAAATTAAACTTTGAAATTGTGTCCCCCTCAGCGGAACGTTCCCCATTTCATTCAACCTTTATTTATACAGGTTAGTTTTATTGACCCGAGGCGTTTGCATGTTCTCTCTGTGAGAAGACAAGAGAGACCTGTCATAATAATAATATAGAGCTAATAAACTCCATACTAACTCATACCTGACCTAAATAAACACAATATACCTCTAAATACAGGTACGCTCTGTGTAACCCAGTTTTTATCTCGCAGGAATACTGTGCATGTGACTCTATAAAGAAATGGCTTTTAATGTTCTTTAAAGTAATGTGTAAAATGCTAATAAAAACACAAACTAGAAAGATCAATATATTCATACTAACTAGACTACAGGCTATTTTAAACAACCTGACTGTCAATCAAATGAAATTTAAAGTCATAATAGAAATAAAAACACTTGCTTTTTTAACTGGTAGTCCACTTAAGGGTTTTAATAGGTTACATGTGACAAGATGCTACATTTTAGAGTAAGAGTTGTTGCCTGATCCTCCTGTAAGTTCAGCTGACTCATGGAAATCAAGTTATTATTGTCCAAAAAAGTTCAAACTGGTCCTCTGGACATTCAAAAAAAAAACAAAAAAAAAACCACAAAGCAAAAAAATATATAGGAACGTTTTGTCTCTCATCCAAGAGACTTCCTCAGTCTGAGGTGCTGTTTTCAGCT